GCTGACAGGCATGGCATGTACGTGCATGCCATGCCCATTGTGAGTTTACTTGGTTAATTGTTTTTACACATAGATGGCTACATTTGTACAAAATCACCAATGAATCAGTTGGTACTGCTTATCTCGCCCGTTCACCCTTTTCATCGATTTACAAAAATATTTAACGTTATCTTATTTTGCTGTTACAAATGTTTATAACATTTTGGTAATTATGTTTATAATAAAAATAACACCATCTATATTTATAGCACCAATAAAAGTACGTTTTTCATGCCAATTCAAGGAAAGGTGAAATCCTTCATGGCTAAGCACTAGCAGAGCCATCTAGTTACAGGGACATTTCACAAAATATAAAAAATGAGCACAGAATGTCCCCCATTTTTTATTCATTTTCCCTGTCGGGAAAGGGTTAACCAATTCCTATGCACTTCTGTGGTGGACAATCACCTCGCCATGCCGAGCGTCAGCACAAGTAACCCACGGAGTGAAATGTCATGGCATATTGCATACTCTCTGGAGGGGGAGTACCTGCAGCAGCACAACCCTGCAACCTGAAGTTCAGCATACTTTCCCTGGAAGGGTCACATTAGGTGTGCAAGCAAGTCCTAGCTCATTGGACAGTGGGCTCCTGTTGTTCCCTGTACACTTACACAGCAAATGTGTACTTAAGCTGCAGAATCCGGAACAGAGATAAGCATTCGCTGATCCTCTAGATCAGTGTTATTCACTAATTTTTTCAAGAGAGCCAAAAGTTCAGGGCATATTCAGATTGAGAGCCACATGCCTCGTAAGCTACAAGGATTAGTATTAGCAGAACAAAATATATACAGAAACTAAATTACATATTTTTTACATATTTTTGATACTGGCAAAGTATGGGTCGCCGAGCACTGGATTTTACGTAACCTACATGTACAGTTCCCGTGCGGAAGGAGCGTCATTTCTCTCTCTCTCTCTCTCTCTCTCTCTCTCTCTCTCTCTCTCTCTCTCTCTGTTTTGCGAGCCGCCACTCAGGTCTTGGCGAGCCGCGCAATGAAGACCACTGCTCTAGATGAAGATGACCACAAGCAGCGGCAAACACAGAACTGCCTAGTCCTTAGCCGGCTGGGGAGCAGGAATCTACCACTTAGATTCCAAAACATGCTCTACTATACCTCCTTCCCCCAGTACTTCTTCAACAACATACTTTTTGCTTGTTATAATCATGGACATGTACTTGGAAGTAGTAATAAAACCTGTATGAAATGATAGAATGATATAAACCAAGGTAAATTTCAGATTTCGACTAGTCTCAAAATTTTGTAACTTTATTTTTTAATGGAATATTCCTTGGTGGTTTAATGATGGTATGCTGTTGTTTTCTGTTGTACATGACTCGTTAATAAGTGACATAATTTGTATTCTCCAACGGCTATGTTGATAGTATGTTAGTAGAGTAATACTTTATTTTTAGGGAGAATTAGCTTGATTTAAACTCATCAAAACATTACAAAAATTCTTAATAATTTTTAAATGTGTTCATGGTTAAAACTGGGATTACCTTTTGCCATATTGTTGTACAAAACATATACTTTAACCCGCTGGATCTGGTTGCTTTACTGTCATCATGATTGAACAGAAGACTGCAACTGTACAATATGTAGTTGGAAGTAGTAGCAGAGTTTGGTAATAAAAGCTATGAAATAATAGAACAATAAAAATCAAGACAAAGTTCTATGGTAATATTTGTGCAAATGCTTCCTAAAGGTGGTAAATGTAAAAGAACAGAGAAGATTGCCCATTTTAGTTAAGTCACTCATATTGGTTACATTGTAAAGAGAAATGCCATACTTCATAGTTCATGTATAACTATGCACTTGGTAGAAAGACCCACAATGTAAAAATTAGATTTATTGAAAATGAGACAACAGTTTCGGAATCCACCTGGATTCCATCCTTTCCATGACAAGTGCCAGTGGGAATTGTTTTGTTTTCAGTGTCATGTCAAATTTGGGTTATTATTAAGACTATACAGTGGAAATGAAGAAGTAATAAACATTAGTAACCATCCCAGTTTGATTTCCGAGTTCATTTAGTGTCCCAAATGTCAAAAAAATGATTATAGATAACAATTTACATTGAAAATAGATTTCAAATTCAAACAAATATGAAGATAATGGATGGTACCAATTGCAAGAGTGAAACTAAACTGAAATATTGATATAATAATTTATGCTTTTAACTTTTGATTTAAGTACTTTGAATTTGGTACACTTACAGACCATTGTATAAACTACAGCAATTTACCAGGGAATTTCAATGCAAAACATGTTTCAGCCAGAACATGCCCTTCTTTCCAAACAGCTTACAATCCATCTCTTGTACATTCTTTTTCATTGTCTGCCCCCTCCCCCCTTATTACTACTTTTCATCCTTGTTATCCTCCTCCTCCTACCTCACTCCATAAATCCAAGTCCTTCTACTGCCTCCACCTCTGAAAACCTTTTGATTACTCTTTTTAGCCTAGCCAAGTGGGGTCAATTCTTTGTGATTCGCCCTACAGCCCCTACTCTGACAATACCTTCCTCTTTCAACAATGTATCCATTAAAAAGTAGGTGAAGTTTCCTGTGAAAGACTTGCTTGCCTACTTCATTAACTATGATGCAGTGGCAGTACAGTGTTATGCTATTCCTCCCAGAGGCCACCGTAAGTCCTACACCAATAATGCCATGATTAGCTTCCATAGACATAACCTCTCCCATGAAGTTTGGTGGAGTGTCCTGCCCAGAAATGTCAGAAATGGTGTTTTGGCCACCTTGCCAAACGCTGCCACTCCATAGAGCTCTGCCTTCTATATGCCCAACCTGGCCATGACCATTCAAACTACTCTGCATAGTCATGCACTTGTGCCAGTTGTGGTGGTTCCCATAATGTATTTTATAGGAGCTGCCCTGCCTACAAGTCAAATCAGAGTTAGTAATTCTCATATTCAAATTATGAAGCATACCAACAAGGTTTTTTTTCTCAAGATGTTTAAGCATCCCCCACAATATCTCTTCCCTTACTATCCTATGCCACTCTCTCTCCCTCAGTCAAAATTCTTTTTCCAGTCTAAATCCAGATATTCCTATCCCTCCCTCCTCACTTTATCTGTTGCACCATTCAATCTAAATGTTCTACCCCATCTTTGACCACATCCTCCCCAATACCCACCTCTTTCTCTGCTTCTCAGACATCTGTATCCTCTTCTCCTCATAAGAAAACCTTCACTTTTCAGACTTCTCCTCCCAACTCCCCTCCAAAAACTCTTGGAGACATCCAAAATTTCCTAAACATGACCCATGAGAATGCTCCTCTCTCATCCACCTTCCAATATCTTTATGCCCATTAACAAATTACATTCAAAGTAATAGATGATATCCATCCTCCTACACATCCACCGTCCCCTCTTCTTTCCCTATTATCCTGGATGCTCATGTGACAGTGTCCTTCTCTGGATCCTTCCTCTCCTAATGTTTTTCACTTTCCCCTGTTCCCTTATTTCATTCTCTGGATTCTTCTCCTCCTACTTCTCCAACACCCATTTCTGGTTTTATTACAAGATAATTGTTTCATAATGGCTCTTTTGCAGTGTTCCACAGATACTCTCCAGTTGATGTAATTGCTCTATGCCCTTAACTTTTACTTATCCCTGCCTTACTTTGTTCCCCCCCCCCCCTAATCTTTACCCTTTCTTAGACATCTAACCCATTTTATCTTTATTGTCAGCTTTTATTTACCCTTTTCACCACAATACTTTACCATAGTTCTATATGACTTTTGATGTCTAGCACATTTATCTGTTTTATCCATTAACCATTTCCACTTGCTATATGTTCTAAACTATTATTAGCAATGGATTCAGTAGTAATTATCAATGTGAGAGATATTGTTCATGCTATGGATGGATGACAATCCATGCTTGCCCACAAAGGCAGTCACTAAATTCAGTAAAATTGCTCATTAGTCAAGAAGGTTAGAAAAAAAACAATCATAATATCTTAATATATGAATGACAGTGGCAACTGACAATGTTATAACAATACATAAAAAATGGGGTTCATCTCATGAAGAAAACTAAATTGTTCTCATACAGTGCTTTTTCTTATAATTTTTTTGTACTCACTTTTTCATAGACTTGCATTCTCATTCCTGTATCTGGTTGCTTGCTATCATTAGTATTGTATAATTCATATTTTGGCACTGAAAGATAAGCATTGCATTAACTGAAATATGGAATTAATGACAAAGAAAAAGATAAACAAATTTAACCCATTGCCTCTGTTGGCTCTGTTAGCGCCTGATTTGAAATGGCGGGAAAAAAAGTATTTTTCACTAGTGCCATGAATATCGATGGTGTTATTTTTATTATAAACATTATAATTTTTATAATGTTTTTTTACATTAGTAACAGCAAAATAAGATAACGTAAAATATTTTGTTAATCAAAGAAAAGGCTGAACGGTCGAGACAGGCAGTACTCGTAACTGGCTCATTGGTGATTTAGTACAAGTGTAGCCATCTATGTGTAAAAATAATCCAACCAGTAATCTCACAGTGGGCATGGCATGGTATGCCCATTGGGAATGGGTTAAACTCAAATGTTTGTCATATTTTTTACTTGTACATATAAAACAAACATGGGGCTAAGCAGTAAAATGATCAATTAGTGGTATTGTCTAGCACTGTATGCTAGTTTCTCTTAGAGTTACTTATACTCTGGTTGCTTTTACTGTATGCCATCATCACTCAGTCACTTGCAGCTGTATTATGTTAGTAATATTAATGTAGTCATCTTCATCTTTGCTGCATACTTTGCCTAATAGCATTTAATTGCCATAATGTTATGTTATGATTTTTCTGTGATAACCATAAGACCTTTTAATGCTGAAAAGCTAATAGTATATAACTTCCTGTTCTATTAATTAAAGTAGAATATTAAGGGAAAGTAATTTATCATAATTTTATTTATCAATTTCAGAAAGAAGAACTAAGAATACTTTACAATGCATCAGACTGACTATCCTAATTCAACACGATACTGGGGCACAGTAGCTTGTGAAGATTCTCTTGGTAATGATGCAAGTCCTGCAGAACCAAACAATCAAGCTTCAGTTCTCCTTGCTCGACTTAATGAACGGGCCAGACTGAGAAAGGCTGGGAAACTTATTTCGGAAATTGGATTAACTGAGGGTGAAGGTAATTGTGTGAAACAAAATGAGAATCACTCTGAGGAGAGTCATAAGAAAAGCCCTACAAAAAAGAAAAACAAAAGCAAAACAAAAGGTCAAACAGATCAGAATGATGTCAGTCTTACAGCAGTTACTGATGCAGAAGAAACCTGCATAAATGGTGAAGAAAGTGGTGAAGATTCATCCCTCAAAAAGAAGAAGAAGAAGAAGAAACATTCAAAAGATGTGGAGGAGGATATTGGGGATAAAACACAAATGAATGAAGAAGTGGAGTTTAATGCAGATTGCCCTCAAAAAAAAGGGAAGAAGCACAAGCTCAGAACTGAAAGTATAAACCTTGAAGCTGATCCTCTTGAAGGTAACAGATACATTGATACTAATAACAAAAAATCATTTAAGCAATCAAGTAAAAGACAAGCTGACAGCAATACTGCTGCTTTAGGTGAGAATAGTACAAAAGAAAGTGTGGACCCACTGATTGACAGCAGTTTTGGAGCATTGTCTGAAAAAGAAAAAAAATGCAAGAGAAAAAAAACAGAATCTGAGGATGATTACCAGCTTGAAGCAGGAGATATCGAACCAAGCACACTGTTGTCAGAAAATAATAAAAAGAAGAGGAAAGTCAATGAATGCAGTACAAATTCTTTGATTCATAACAATAATGCAAGTGAAGAAAATACAGAAAATCTGACCATGGAAAATGGAGTTGTAAACAGTGATGCTGATGCTTCTCAAAATGAAGAGGATTTTGAGCCACCTGATGCAAGCAAATTGCAAACAAAACATGAGGAAAAGAGGAGGCTGAAGAAGGATAAGAAAAAAGAGAAGAAGAGGAAGAAGAAACACGCAAGACAAAATGGAGAGATTGGGGGATTTACTTTGGTGGGAGAAGTTTCATCTACAACCAAAGCAAAGGTATGCAAGATATCATTTACTTTTTCTTAAATTTAACTTTTAATAAGTTTTTTATATTGGTCTTAACCCATTCGCGCCGGGTGTCACGTATACGTGACATGCCTACTGTGAGTTTACTTGTTTAATTGTTTTCACACATAGATGGCTACACTTGTACTTGTACTGCCTGTCTCGCCTGTTTACCCTTTTCTTTGATTTACAAAATATCTCACGTTATCTTATTTTGCTCTTACTAATGTTTATATCATTATAGTAATTATAATGTTTATAATAAAAATAACCATCAATATTCATAGCACTAGTAAAAACACATTTTCCCGCCAATTCAAGTAAAGGTGAAATCAGGCAGAGCCATCTAGTGTAGAGACATTTCATTAAAAAATATAAAAAAATGAGCACAGCATTTTCCCCATTTTTTGTTCATTTTTACCCGGCGTGAATGGGTTAATAAGTCTGCTATAAGTTGTGTGACTACAACTTTTGATAAAGTTTTATGAAAATGACAAACTCAACAGCTAAAATATATGTCATATTAATATTTTTTCTTTGCATATAGATATACATGTATTTATGTATATATATAGATAAATAGATATATATATATATATATATATATATATATATATATATATATATATATAAATATGTATATCCTTCATTATTGGTGAGAAGCTAATGCCAGTGGGGGCGCATAGCTGCATCCACCCTTTGTTTCCGGCTACGAGGATATCATGGCGAGCCGTCAGGCAGGGTCCTGTCCCATCTCTAGATCTTCACGACAGGTTTGATTGATCTGCCCAAGCCGCACCTTCCTAGGTCGTCCCACTGGCCTCCTCCACTCAGGGTTGTCTCAACAGAGACAACCTGGTGGGCAGGATTATCCTGTGGGAAACGAGCCAGGTGGTCATATTGCCATAGTTAGCGATTGCAGATTGTGCAAATAACAGGTCCTGTACCAGTCTCATGGTGCAACCGTTGGTTGGACATATGGTCCTGCCAACTGTACCCCAGGATTCAGCGCAAGGATCTGTTACAAAGATGAGATTTCAAAGCACGATGCAAGTCTTGAAAAGTGTTGGTGCAAGAACACAGCCTTGCCTCACTCCTGAATTAACAAGGAAGAAGCTTGACAGGTCTCACCATACTCTACAGCACTTTCAGTATCAGTATACAGGCTTGCTATTAATCCAATAATCCTTGTTGGAATTCCTCTTAGTCACAGGATTTGTTTAATGCCTCGCTGATTGCTGCAGTCTCACCAACCCCCTTTCCCTTTCCCTTTCACAGAGGGATGACTACACCCCTCAGCAGGTCAGGGTGAATAGTACCAGTCTGCCAGACAGTAGACAGGACAGTATGCATAAACCCCTTGCCATAAGTTCTCCACCAACCTTTAACAGTTCAGCTGGGATGCTGCAGATACCCACTGTTTTACCATTCTCCAGCTTGGAGATGACCCCCCTGACACTACCTTCATCTAGGTTACTTGCTGGTGGATCAACCTGGTACAACTGGTTAAAATATTCAGCCCAATGCACCTGCTCCCCAACAGGATCTGAGATTATATGGCCACTTGCTGAGTGGACTGCAGTCATCTGTGAGAAGGGCTAGGAATTCAGCTTGCTCAGGGCTTGGTAAGCAGGATGAAGGTCATTTAGTAGGAAATGGCATTTAACCTCTGCAAGGTTCCTGATAAACTGTTCCTTGTCCCTTCTCAAGCAGTGACCTAGTCCTGCGCACCAGGGAATGATATAAGTTGTGATCCCCTGACAGACGAGCCACACAACAAGCATTTGTGGCTTCCAGTGTATCCTGTGAGATGAAATTCTCTCTTGCTCTTGGGCATTCACCAATCGATTCTTGGGCTGCATCAATCATTTCATGCTTGAAGGTGGCCCTCAGAGTAGGGTATGACAGGCCCCAATTAACCCCTTATTAAGCCACTTATTAACCCCTTCATGACGGGTGACGCTGCTAGGCGTGAAAACAAACCTCTTGTAAAGTGGCATGCGGCTGTATGCCGCGGCGGTGAGCCAAAGCGCGGCGAGCAAGTGATTCAGCCTGATGTACCGAACTCATCTGCTCAAAGTTGGCGCGCTGCCATGGTTCGCCAGAGCGTAGAGCTTTTGTTTTGTTTTCTTCACCTGTCACCATTGGGTGACTGGTGCAGGCATGGGGGCAGGAGTTAGTATGAAGCCAGGGCATGTCTGCATACTGCTGGGCCATGACTCGAGAGCCTCCACAGTGCAGCCTAGGATCGCAAGGTACCTAGCTTCCTTGGGTGGCCATAAGGAGGCACTGGAGAGTCTTGACGATGAAGAAGCTGTAAGCTGGCAGGGTACAAACACACACATACCCATACCCATACCCATACCCATATATAGATATGTATATATAGATATGTATATATAGATATGTATATATAGATATGTATATATAGATATGTATATATACATATGTATATATACATATGTATATATACATGTATATATACATATGTATATATATATATATATATATATATATATATATATATATATATATATATATATATATATACACACATACATATATATACCTATATATATGTAGGTATATATATTTATATATACATATATATACACACACATATGTATATATGTATGTACATATATATATGTACATATGTATATATATGTACATATGTATATATATATGTATATATATATGTATATATATATGTATATATATATGTATATATATATGTATATATATATGTATATATATATGTATATATATATGTATATATATATATATATATATATATATATATATATATATATATATATATATATATATATATATGTATATATATATATATGTATATATATATATGTATATATATATATGTATATATATATATATGTATATATATATATATGTATATATATATATTATATATATATATGTATATATATATATATATGTATGTATATATATATATATATATATATATATATATATATATATATATATATATATATATATATATATATATATATATATATATATATATATATATATATATATGTATATATATATATTATATATATATATATATATATATATATATATATATATATATATATATATATATATATATATATATATATATATATGTGTGTGTATATGCATCTCTGCTTGAGATTTAAAATAGTATAATATAATTATTGTCCTTATGCAGGTTGAACGAGTATTGCCACTTTGGATGTCTAACCCAGTAAGGTTTGGAAGAGATATTCAAGGAGAAAAAGTTCCTTTGGAGTCGATACCTGGTATTGATACTTCTCTCAAAAAAGTTCTTAAGAAGCGAGAAATTGAGCATTTCTTTCCTGTCCAGACATGTGTTATTCCAGAACTTTTAACCAGTGTTAGTTCTATATCAACAAGGTAAGACATTTTCTGAGGACAATGTATTAAAAATTGTCATTGATGTATAAATACTTATAATAGAGGGGGTTGCAGTTGCATTTTAAAATAACTTCTAAGGTGCCTCAAATATCATAACCTGTGTTTCAGGTTTCGACCAAGGGACATATGTGTGTCTGCTCCCACTGGGAGTGGAAAGACATTGTGTTATGTTCTTCCTATCATACAAGCCTTGAGCAATAGAAATGTTCGAAGAATACGAGCTCTGGTGCTTCTACCTGTCCAGGAATTGGCAATGCAAGTATGTCATTTTACATTTGTGTTAAAGTGATGGTGTATAGTAGTAGTAATCAATTGTGAAAGAAATTAGGTTATTTGCACTTTCTGCTTCTTTCTCTGCCTGTTTCTTTCCCTTTTTCAGTCACCTCTCTATCTCTCTCCTTCCCACAATTTCTTCATCTACTCCAACATGCCTCCTGCCCTCTTTCTCATTACCCCCTCAATTTTTCCCTCACCCTCCTTTTTTTCCATCCCCCCTCTACCTACCTACCTTTTCCTTTTTGGTATCACTCTTCTACATCACTTTTATCATCCCTCCCTCCCTTTCTCTATCCCCTCATTACTTGTCTTCCCCCTTACCTCTCCTTATCTCCACTCTTATTTCTTCCCACCCTTCCTGTCTCCATATTCCCTTTACCTACCTTTTGCCTTCCTTCACTACATCCCCTCCTCCACATGCTTCCCTCCCTCTTTATCTCTATCTCTATACTCTACCTACCTTTATCTTTCTCTTTCTTCATCCCCTCTCTTACTAACTTATCCCCCCTTATCCCACCTCACCCTCAACCCTTCCTTTCTCTTTACTACTCCACATGCCACCTTTCTCTTTCCCCTACCTCCCTACCTCCTTCCCTCTCTCAAACCTTCTCTCACTACCCTTCTCTCTTTCAACAATCATGAACTGATTTCATATAATCTCTCTATTCTCAGGTGTATAAAGTCTTCCAGACATATGCTGTTATAAAGCAGCTAAAGATTGGGTTAGTAAGTGGTATAAA